GAATTTAAGTCCGTCGACATTAACACCCAAATCGAGAAATTATGCAGAGTAATATTTAAATGATTAATTAATTTCTAAAACCTGCCAGCTACCCATAGCATTATAACTCGCTATATGCAAATTGGCAATGAAGAAAAAAGGCAAACTCTAACCTTTATGATCTGAGAAATTAGACCGAGCAAAAGATGAGGCTGCATAATCATTACAATTATGTTAGCAACAAATCTTCTCATTACAACAAATCTGACCTGGTATATACAAAGCAATCTATAAGTAGATTAAACCTACTCTTGCTTCCACCAAGTCCTGTGCACCAATGTTAACCACAGTGCAACCAATAGCCTTTGCAGAGTTGAGGCAAAGAGTATGGTTCTCATTCCTCTCCCACAAGTTAAGAACCTTTTTACAGTTGATAGCCCGCTCATCAATAGTCCCAGGCACAGCAACATTGATAAGCTTACTGAACAAAAGCCAAAACAAAGACGATGATTTAAATTCAAGATAATACCGGGGAGAAAACAAGGAAATTATCAAATCAACTAACCATAGAAGAACCCCATCCTTTGCAAGATCAAATAAATCATTAGCTGCTGGATCCAAGGGAAGAAACTGCTTCAGAAAAGGGTCATCCCCAAGGTAACTGTTTATGTGAGCTACATATAATCCTCGCTCAGAGTGGCTAATAGTGTGAAGCAGAGTGGTTACTGATGCCTTGAGGAATGATGAGGATGTTTTTGAATGCCCTGCTTTAGCATGAGCTTGACCTTGTAAATTCAAGTACACCTGTTACATTTCAAGTTTGTAAGCAAATTAAAGAGCATATCCTTTGCCTTGGCAATAGGTTACAATATATTCAGTAGCACTTTCACTTCCTATTTATTGAAATGACAAATTGGACTGTGGTTCAACTGGACATAAGAAAGTAGTAAGTTGGTGCACAAAAACAAACAAAAAAGGAAGGCAAGGTTATCAAACATGAGAACAGCTCACCCTGAGAAAGCCTTCGAAGTCTATATCGGCAGTCGAGTCAGGGAAGGATTGAGCTAAGAGGCCTGCAACTTCTTCCTCCTTGAATGTTGAAGCAAAGGCTTTTAACGTCACCAGCAAAGATGGCAAATCTCCAACTGTAACTTTGCCTTTCTCATTCTTCACTGCAGTAAACTGAATCAAGGGAAAGGGGGAAAACAACATCAAGAACATGAAAACTCGAGCTAAGTCGAAATAACTTGAAACAAATTTTCCCGTCTGAGGATGATTCCAACTGACAAAATGGCCGGCATTCAAACAGACAAACACCGGTGGGTTCTGAAAAGGGACTTACTTTAGATTTGAGGCCACGAAGCTCCACCTGCGTGAACTGATTCTGGAGCGTTGGATCAGAGACTTGAACACCTAAATAACTCGTCATCTCCGCGAATTAGCCTTCCGCGGAGAACTTCAAACGATTCTCAGTTGTACTACCCTAGACAACACCCAAGAAAATAATTAATGCCACCAAATGTCCTTTCACGATCTCAGAACCAGGAGCAGAATCAAAGCTCTAACTCAGCAGGTAAACAAAATGTTATTTTGGCAGGTCTCTCCCCTCAGCTTTGCATGAAACACACAGAACCACAGAATCCAATCCCTGGATCAAAACGATTCAATCACAACCCAGTGTTCTCGATTTACATTGTCGAAAAATTCAATGAAACACTGACCACCAAAACCTAATCGCAACCAATCTAACATATTCCATCGCCAAACCATTAAGAAACAAATTCTATCATAAAACCAATGTATCATCCACAGCAAGAGATTATGATGCCCAATCGGAAAAAGAAGCGCATCACAGCATGCAAACGAGAAAAAACTTCTTCAACAAGTTTTCTCCCCATTTGCCGAGACAGAAACAGAATTACGACCCAAGAGAGCATACACAAAATCAAAGAGAACCCAGAAATACAACATACCTGCAGAAGGGGAAGAGACGATCAGAAACAAAAAAAAAAGATTTATTTCTTCTTCACCTGGAAGACGAGAACCCAAAAACAAAAAAGGATTCACGTCTCAATTAACCAGGCCGCAGGTTCCCATAGCACCACCACATAAAACATATCTATATCTGGCTTCACCATCCATGTATCACAGAAAGTTCCGAACTTTTATTAGAAAACTAGAGAGAGAGAGACGGGGGATCGGTATTCCTTCAGGGGAGAGCAAAGTTTGTGTTTTTTTGTGTGTTTGTGGGGGAAACAGAGAGAAAGGGGGAGGGAACGGTTTGTAGCAGCAGCAAGGGAAGACGACAGAGACGGGCCCATTCAGAAAAAAACCAAACCGGTTCAAATCGCTGGTTCAGGTGGTGGAGGGAGCAGCGTTTGCCAACAAAATAGAGGTCCACAAAATTTCAATTGAACTCTTTAACTATTTTGGATTTTACCTAAAATATTGAAATTTTCATGGTGGTAAGTATTCTGCTATTATCCAATCACTGGTGTCTCAAAATCCATATATTGTGAGAGAAGAAGGTAAATAAATGTGAGATAATATTTCTGATAGGGTGAATTATATTGTTGGCATTAGCAACTCCTTATTCAACTAGTCTAGCCTAGCGATGAAACTCTTAGTGAGTGCTCGTTTTGAGAAGTACCAGATCTCGTGTTCGACCCCTCACTAACACTAAGGCCCGCTATAACATTCCCGGACGTATTTAATAGCGGTTCTCGTAAAGAGCCTAAAGGACTCAAGTAGAGTGTTGATCATTTCCATGTTTGGTGCAATAAATGTTCTTTGAGTAGTCTTTTCTAAGCTTCTATCCTGCTCATTGCTACAAATATTTTACAGAACTATTTGTTATAAGTGTGAATAGTGTGTGCTTAAAGTTTTATAGAACTTCATGATCAAAAGAAGAAGAAGAAAGTTGTATGATACCTTGTATAGGCTCCATTATTCATTGGTTATTCTCTTCTAGGACATTAGCAATCAATGTCTCTAATCAAGTACATATTTCCTCATACTTTTATAAAGTCACACTCAATATAGCTTAAAATTTCATTGTCTCTTTCCCGTAATTCATAAGATTATGACAGTTGATCCCGAGGTATATTGTTTCAGCTGTTGAGCTCAGATAATAATCAATGGAGTGAGTTTCCAAATAGATATAACGATGCTCTCTATGCTCCTTGATTCTAGCTGCGAATACCTGCAAAATAGAATCCCAAATGACAATTGATCAATAGGACCTTTCTCATGTGTATGTATTGCACAAGTTACTAGTTCGGCTCCTTGGATTGTGATTACCAATCTAGAGTGTAACTGGATTGTAACATTCTATGAAGTGCTATGTGGTTGTTGGACCGACGATGTGACAGTTTATCTACAAAAAAATTGTCATCGCGTCAATCCAACGGTCATGCGCCAATGTGAGCACCTTCTCATATATTGGATTGTTTGACTATTTTCTTCTTAGTTGTGGATTGTTGATGCCTTGGGGAAAGATTTCAATTAATATTGTAAGTAGATTTTAGAATATCAACTAGAATATGTACTTGTTATAGACCTATCCAAGTTTAGACAATCTTGTCCCTTCTTTTATTTTAAAATGATAGTCTTAACTCTTTACCTATGAATTTACCTATCTACCCAACTTCAACGATCTTGTTCCTGCTTATATTTTAAAACGACAGTCTTACCCATGAATGGTTAGGAATATGGTGCATAGCGCTATGATGTATAACTTGCATAATAAGATTTGGGTCCTTCCTTTTAAGTGGGCTTCAAATATGAGGCTTAAAATGACAGTTCTAATTTGGATTTTTTTTCAGAGATGGAACAAGTTCGTTGTGCTCTACAAAATGAGATCAATTTTCAATATGTTTTGAAATTTTTTGTTTCATACCTCACATTACCAACTCCATACCATATGTTATCTCCTTCGTTTTGAAGTCATTTTTTAAAATATTTGTATAGAAGGAGGAGTTCATCATTATCTATTGAAACTACAAATTCCTGGGGGGGGGGGGATACATTACCAAAAAGTACCACTTCGTACCACCCTGATATAAGTGTGGTATCTTATGATACGCAATGTTGAAAGTCGTAAATGACAGTTAGTATATTTCTACTATCATGTATTCAAGCATCCTACAGGTTGGTATGTTCATACCACCATGGTATGCTCTTGTTTAATAACAATCAATACCATATGGTATAGACTGGTAATAAACGTCTCGATTTTTTTCCAAAAAAATACCAAAGTAGATATTATTTGAAAAGCATAATTAATCTGATTTATCTGTGCAGACAAATTTCAATTCCGACTTAAAATAAAAGAGAAATCGTATGTTAAAAATGAAAGAGAAAATGTTAGAGACCTTCTACAAGTGAGGGAGAGGTGCAGCAGATGTGACGGTTGATGATTGGGTTATGCACTCTTACTAATCATATAGTTACGCACCGGCTCCATGAATATGTCATAAATGGAGATAGAATTGCCCTTTCAATTTTCAATGTGGATAGTTTTTAGGGACGACAATTTCGACCTGACCCGTTTTACCAGACCTGTTTGGAATTTGGATTGTTTTATGGCGGGGCGGGCATGAGTAATCTCGTAAACCCGACCTACCAAACAAGTAATCTTAGTCAAATTACTTATAATAATTTTTTCTATTACACCATATTTTAGCCATAATAAAATTGTAAATTAGTAAAAATCTCAATTTCTCCAATAATTTAACTACATTTATCTTAATATAGTTTGTTTTCTTGGTCTTATAATGAAAATAACGAATATTTTTAATATTTTCTATATAAATTGCTCACCTATTGGGTTGATCTGCCTCGATCCACGACCCATGATAAATTACCTGATCTGAACCTGACCTGCCACAGGACTGGTATGGAGTATGGACCCGCCCCGAACTTGCCGATTGCCATTTCTAATGGTTTTGATTTTAAACGGTTCAACCGTCTGGTCCGGTTCGATTTTGATAACTCGGATAGCGCCAAGCCGCAACCAATCTAGAAAGAGAGAAACAGAAGGGAGAAAGACTGAGAGAGAGGAGACAGAGAGAGAGAGAGAGAGAGGCCAAAAGCAAAGCACTGGGCCTGAGAGGGAAAGAACAGAGGGAGGGAGAGAGACAGAGAGAAGAGAAAGAAAGAAACAAGGAGAAAGTTTAGAGAGAGAGAGAGACAGAGAGAGATCAGGGCAGAAATCATCGAGTTAAAAAACCCAAAAAAGAACAAAAATGTCGGAGCGAGAGATATCCCAAGCTCTCCACTCCCTCCTCCACGACTATTCCACTTCCCAGTCCCAATCCTCCGCCGCCGGCCCTCTCACCTCCATGGCCGCCGTCGTCCACCACCTCCAGTCCAAGCTCGGCGTCGACCTCTCCCCCAAGCTCGACTTCATCCGATCCCAGCTCCAGCAACTCCTCTTCCAGCAACCTCACCCACCGCCGCCGCCGCCGCATCACCACCAGCAGCAACAACCCTTTCCTCCTCCGCCGCCGTCTTACAAAGACCGTTATGCCCCCCACCAAACGACCCCCAATTTCCTCCTCTCTTCCGGCTACCCTCCGACGCACCAAACCCCCAATTTCTTGCTCTCTTCCGGCTACCCACCGCCGCCTCACCAGCACCAGCACCAGCAACCCTTTCCTCCGCCCTCTTACAATGACCGTTATGCCCCTCAACAAACCCCCAACTTCTTCCTCTCTTCCGGCTTCCCTCCATCTCACTCCCCCGGCTCCTTCAATTTGGAATCCCCTGCACCTGCTGGTGCTCCCCTCGAGTCTCCTAAGGAGAGGTAAGGGTTATCTCTCTTTCTGTCTCTTCCCTCGAGCTTTGTTTGTCCTGAAATGGGGAATGTGATATCCCTTTGTAAAACCTCACAGTTTCGATTTTGTTTTTTTTTTTCCTGCTGAGAATTATCTGGGTTCTGGGTAGTTGAGGGGAACGGGAAAGCTCAAATTTTTAGCATCATCATTCTGCTTGCAATTGGGTTTAGATCAATGATTGTGAAAGGATTCTTTTTTTGTTTGTTTGTTAGGGTTGAACTAATGAATTGAATGTAGAGTTGATGTGCTACTTACTCCATTGAATTTGAGTTTTCCGGAGACTGGAGAGGGGAGCCTCATGTTGGTCTAATGAGGTATACTCACTTGCTGCTAATAGTACTGTTGAATGTGGCTCGTCTTATTTGCAGTAATAAGGGTAAGAGGAAAGGCGGGGCGGGTGGTTTGAACAAGCTCTGTGGGGTGTCGCCGGAACTTCAAGTTGTGGTCGGCCATTCTACTCTTCCAAGGACTGAGGTTCTTTTTTTTTTTTTTGTTTCTTGTACCCTACTTTGCTTTCTTTTTGCTTGCATGACCACATAGCTGACTGAGGTGTCGTGAGTCGTGACTCGTGAATGATGATTTCTGTTTCCAGATTGTTAAGCAGCTATGGGTATACATAAGAAAGCACAACCTGCAAGACCCGAGCAACAAAAGGAAGATTATCTGCGACGATGCACTGCGTGTGGTGTTTGAGACTGACTGTACTGATATGTTCAAGATGAACAAGTTGCTCTCTAAACATATCCTTCGTCTTGATCCCGCCAGTGAGTGATTGATTACTGTGTGGAGGCTCTCTGTGTGGGTATGGCGTTTGTAATGATGTCACAGCCTTTGTTATTGTTGTTTTGATACTTCAGGCGAGGCCAGTTCTAAGAAGCCAAAGGTAGAGGATGAAGAACAGGATACACAGGCTGCTCCGGCACCTGCACCTGCACCTGCACCTGAACCTGAACCTGAACCTGCTCCTGCACCTACTCCTGCAGAGATAGAGGATGAAGACAAGGAGTCTCAAGACACACAGGATGCTGCTGCTCCTTCTGTGGGGATATCTGAAGAACTTGCAAACTTTTTCGGTGTTGGTGAGAGGGTGATGCTCCAGTCAGAGATTTGCACCCGCCTTTGGGAATACATCAACGCCAACAATTTGGAGGTAACAAACAACTATTGGAGCTTATATATCACCACACTGTGTGTTGAAATGCAGTAATGGGGCTTCATCTGATGATTTGACAACGGTTTTTTTTTAACACTGGGTGTGGTTTGCGCTCTGTAGGATCTTGTTAATCCAACTGTGATTGTATGCGACTCGAAGCTTCAAGAGCTCTTTGGCTGTCAAAGTTTCCCAGCTGCAAAGTTAATGGAAGTTCTATCCCGTCAGCATATATTTAGGGCTTGAGCATCTGCAAATGGCGGGTTGCTTGCTGCTAATTGAATGACTGGTTAGTAGATGTTAGTCTAAGTATTAATGATCAGGCACTCCCTCCACCTTCCTTAACCATGACGACTGACGGTTAACCTTTTGTGGATATAGTTAGCTGTTTATTCATCCCTTTGCAAAGATGGAAATAGTAATCTGAAGCTTTCACCCTTAGATTTTGAAGTTGGGAGGATATCTCATCTCATCTTAGTGTTGTTATTTGGGTTTCTCTTATCATGTAAGGCAGTTTGCAGGCATATGATTTGTATGTAGGTAGCTTCGTTGGTCTTGTTGGGCCTGCTGCTATGACTCCTTGCTTTTGTTAATTTGTAGGTTGGGGAATATTAACTTGGCTAGCTAGATGTTGTACTGAAAAACTGATGCACTTTAATCTCAGCAAAACAGTTATTCGTGGTAGTGTAGTGACATTGGCTTTTGCTCTCTGTAAGCGCCTTTTCTCCTTCGTATGTACAGTTGTGTGTTTATTTCGATAAGTTCATCAGATTAGTGACACCGAAACTTGTCAACTATAGTTGGCTATGTCGGACCAAACACACCAAGATCTCAATCCTGAGCTTCACTGTCTGCTATCTCCCATTGCGCCTTATTTTGCTTGTCAAGTTACTAGGAAACTGTTCACCTCATCAGCTCTTGTCGCAACAGCCAGATACAAACTTCGACAAAGACTAACGTATTGTAAAATGATGCATTCCTATGGAAACTCGACTTGAATACATTCTACTTATAACGATATATGTTCGGTAGCCTTTAGACAACCACAACAGGTGTTCAAAAGATGTCTTCTCACCTTATGTCAGGTATCCGAGGAGATTAGTGTTTCGGCTTGCTTTTCAGGTCACCAAGTCTGCACATACTACAGATTTACAAAAACCTTAATAATCTGTAGATCTTAATCTAGTTGCTAGCTTCATTTCTTGACGTTGTATCCCCGGGAACAGAGTTTTGTTTAATGTTGTTCATCCTTCCCGTGCATCCCTGCAACAAACTGGTGAGCAGATGGCTACAAAAATTTCTTTTGGCTTCTTATAAAACTAAGCTCAACCAAACTGCAACCGACTTTGCCTTGTACACTCTTCAGTCCTGAAAGCCTACATCAGGAGGCAGGTCAATGGCAGACCTTAAAGTTCTTCTGTTCTTCTGCGTGCTTGTAGTAGTGCTATCACTGACTGCAGCTACTGCGACCAAAGGAGGCTCAGATGGTGCTAGCTCCGCCGCTGCCAGGCTAAACAGCAATTGCCGGGTTGACCTGTCCCAGCTCATCATCTGCCGACAATGTAAGTTCCTCCTCCCTCGGTGCATTTTGGGTTGATTTGGTGACTTCTTTTATGCAGCTATGGCGAGCTGAAGTGATGATTCCCTGAACTCTTAAAGTTTGAAATGGCTTTTGATGGTTGCAGCGCCTTGAAAAGGACGTCGATGAGTAAGGAGATTTGGCCTATTAAGTGAACTTCGTTCTTGTACTTTTCTGATGATTTACGGATCAACATAGTTCAACGTTTAATGCAGTAAGGAAGGTCCATTTTTCACTAAAAATGTTTGTTGCAGAGTTCACTAAAATCATTTACATTTAGATCGAAACAGTAGCTTTCACCAGCAAAACTTCCAAAACTTGGCATCGCTGCCATTCCTTCCATGAGACTACACATTCTCTGGCAATCTCGGCCTCTGCATTTAGAATTCGCTACCTGCATATTCTAGGCACCAAGTCAAAGAACCACACCCCTTTCTCCCCTAACCTTGGGCTAATTCCACTACCGGCGATTCTGGTATTCCTCGATGGAGAAATGGTCGAGACTTGAGCGAGAGTAGTAGTAGTTGTGGTAGAAACTCAGCATTCTGATGGATTGTGCCGAGGGCCACCAAAAATGGGTCTCATGTAGGCATTATCAAACCTCCTCCAGTAGTGATGGATAGTGTAGACCGGCCTGTCCATCAACATGGAGAAATTATCCCTTGCGATTTGCATGTTAGCCGAAGCAGATTCATCGAAGGACAGCAAAGGAAGCACCACATCGTCTTTCGGGGACCTTGGCTGTTCTCCTCCTTCTCCAGCTCCATGATTGTTCTGGTTTCTCATTCCGTGTGTGATTAGGTAATTTACTAGGGGTTTCGTCAAGAAACCAAATACCTGCCAACAATGGCAAAGCAACATTCCGTTGTTTCATTTGATATTCTGGTGAGGAAAGTCATGAAAATAAGGGATTTTGCTGCTTACCAATGTAGTGAAGAGAACGACGATGATGGTGTTCGTGATCATTGTTGCATTGATGGGATTCAACGTGACGCCAGAATAGGTGAACTGCATTCACAACAGAAGAACATATGCTATCATATGCTAACCAGAACAACTATTAACCGCAACAATCGACCAGCTTGGAAATGTGAAGAACCTGTTTAAAAGCAAGAGCGATAGAGACTGCACCTCTCATCAGGCCAGCCCACCAAATAACAGTCTGCACAACGAATGACGTACCCAAGTAAAGGGTGAAAGACTCATTAGGAAATGAATGTGCTTCAATCTACCTCAAGTCGCAATTTAGCTGCAAAGAAGGGAAAAACAGACTTGTTGTTTGAAGGTGAGTGGGGATGTTTTGTTTCTGTTCATGAAGTTGGAAAATGCGGAGAGTGGAAACACGAATACAGCACGCCCCACCAATATCAGGAACACTATTGTGCTATAGATCCCAAGGGAAGTCCCAAAGCTGTCAACCATGAGAAATACTCTGTTACCTCTCGGCACAGCTTCTTGAAGATAAGACATCAAGCTGATAAAACACATGCACAAAACTGATTAAGGAAGCTGTACCTCAATTTAGTCATCCTCCACTTCTCCATGTCAAAAGTGTCCATTCCCACGTAGAGAAATATGAACGTCTCCGCGACAAAGGACAGCATGGCAAAAACATGTCTGCATAAAAGTACCAAGGTAAGTTTATACAAAGAATTGAGGTGATTGACTTGACTCTTCCTGAAGTGGTACATGCCTGGCTGTGATCCTGGAACTTTCTGTCACATTGTGCCAAGAATAATGTGACATGACGATTCCACAAAAGAAAACGGTGAGAATCCCACTTAGCTTCAGCAGCTGCAGAATCCAAAGTGTGTTAGTGTTGCTGCATCCATCAAACCCACACCACGAACCATGCTAGTGAGTGGATTTAAGCAAAGCAAAAGTACCTCGGAGAGCATGTACGATAGATACGCCATTAAGACCATCATGGCGAGTTCACGTATGCTCGAGTGTCTGTGTTTACACAACAGAACTTGTGTTAGGAGTTTTAAAACTGTTTAGGTAGACGAAATAATTGGACACTAGATCCCCACTCGTATTTTTCTAACTACCTTTCCAAGCAAGGAGTACTTACTTCCCAAAGTAGAGTGTTTTAAGGACAAGTGAAGTCAGGAGGCCAACCTACAAAAGAGAAAATTGTGGGTGAGACAAACCTTCCCCTAAACGAATGTATCAACGAGAGAAACACGTGGTGCAATTCGGTGAGCACTCACACCGATTCCAAGAGCAGTGCTGGTGGAGAACAAGTACAGGAAACTTCGTACGACACTGAGGATTGTTTGCGAGTCGATCTTGCTGACATCCATCTTCTGTATAGCATTGAACAGAACGACTGAGGTTGCATCGTTCACTACTCCTTCCCCAAACACTATGCTGTAGAGCAAAGGAGTTTCATCTTGCTGAAGAACCTACAGACACCACGGCAAGACCATCAAATCAAGAACCTTGGCAAATGCTAAAAGCGTCAGGGGACAAGAGGGCAGACTAAAAAAATATGTTTCTCTTCAATCCTCAACAGACCTGCAGGGTGCACACTGAATCGGTCGCCGAAAATATAGTCCCTACAGCTGAACCCAACAAGCCGAGAACACAAGAGGATCATTCCAATGATGACTCACATTACAGTAGAATCACATGAAACATGAATGGAAGACAGGAATGTTCACCGAGGTACTCCCTTGGCGTGAGACCGACGAATCCAAGCTTAGGAAACAGCCACCAGCTGCCTAGGAAACCAACACCAACACATTTGAACCAATGTACATCACATTCATCAGTCATCACTAAATCAATCAAGAACAGAGAATCATCTGTGTGAAAAAGTCAGAATTCTGCTAATGTTTTTTACCTAGGGAGATAATGACTGTTGAGATGAAAACCCCAACAACTCCAAACAGCATAATGGTAATGAAGTTCTGAAAGAACTGCTTCTTCTTCACCTGAAATCTGTTCATCACCACACACACAGACAAAGAAAAAGCTTGCAACTTTCTTGAGATTGAACCCAAAATGTCCAATTCCAAAGCATAGTGTTTTGAGAAAAACCCTAAATTACACACACACAAAGAAAAAGCATGCAACTTTCGTTGAACCCAAAATGCCCAATTCCAAAAACAGAGAGTTTTGAGAAAAAAGACCCAAATTACCCGGCATTGAAAATGATTGGGGGAAGGAGGTAAATGAAGAAGAGCTCCTCACTGAACCTCAAAAGGTGAGAACTTTTCCCCTTCCGGAGGACCAAGATCAGGATTCCAGTCACGCCTCCCTGCACACAATTTCACCACATTCAACAACCCAATTGACCAATTCGATCAAGGGAAAGATAGAAACAGAGAAACAGAGAGTTACGATGAAGATGGCGGTGATGGACTCGTTAACCCATCGATTCTCCTCGAGCAAATGGCCAATTACCAAGCAGAGGCAGAGCACTGCCACGAATATCGTAATGGGGACGACTTCGGCGTGCTCCGGCGACGCATTTTCGCCGACCGTCGCGTATGATAATATGCTCTGCATCGCTTCTCTAGGTCAATTGCTACGCGCCAATGTTTTTGAGTTTTTTAAGCCACTCTGTGCATTGAGTCTGCAATTGGTTTGGCGGAGAGCTTTCTTTTGCTGGCAATGTGGATCGAAATGTGATGGCGATAACTAGGTGGCCGGAAGAGAGTCAGAGAGATAGTCGAGCGACGACGGGAGGGTGCTGCCGGCGAGTTTCGACACGTGGCCTATTTTTCATGCGTGCTGCCTTTTTAGATCCTTCGTTTATTTTATTCTCTTCTCTACTAAATGTATTTTTTTTCTCTTGATATATTGTCAATATTAGTTTCATATATTTTTCTGTTTTGATTTTCTCATAACTCGTCGTGCCCCAATATTACTCTCGTTATTTTTTCCAAATCATCCATGCTAAACTATTTGAATTGTTTAACGGGTTGTCATCGTTATTGTGAAATTGAAATTCAATTTTCTCTTCCAATTATTGTTAGCAACTTAGCACAAAAAGTTCAATGATTTTCTCTAGTTATCTGTATATCCTCTTATCCACTTTGATAAACTAGATTGTATAAATGTAAGAAACTGATAGGTGTAATTTATATGACCGATTGGGATTGGATTGTAACATTTTTGGCAATTAATATTGAAATTTTGGGTTCAAATTTCATTACAGGCATATTAATAACACTAGATTTTGGTGTGTTTCTTCAAATCAAGGAAGTGTCATGGAACTCGCGGTTATAACCCTCTACCTCTCAACGTGGATGGGGCTTACTCTTGTTTGCATTTTTATGTAGAAGGTTCTTTTCAAAAGTGATTCAATGCATGTAACTTTGTTTCGTTTAAAATATTAAAACACACCATTTTAATTGAACGTCAATCAATGATAAATTGTACATGATTTGTCTAAAGAAATTCAAGTTATCGTGGTGCGGCAAGTTCTACATTATCCTTTTTTTAGTAAGGCCATTAATGAAGGGCCAATTTAAGGTTAGGTTATTAAATTTTAAGTGGCTTGACTTGAACAGCCCAAACTCGAAAAAAAAATTCAAACAGAAGCTAACCACAGTCCCCAGCTGATATCACTTTCCATGCATCTAAAATAAGGAAAGAAGCTTTAAGTGAAGCAATAATATAGTTCTACAAATGGGGAACGTGTGGGTTGTTGAGTCACTGTCCTGCCCAGCTGTGTTCCAATCAGAAGATTCCATTCAATTTTTTTTTTTAAATAATAAATAAAAGGGGGCGCTTGCCAGCTCGACTCGGGACCAGTCGTCGCTGCACGTAGCGAAAAACCCTGTTGTTTTTCGTCGCGTGCTGCTTGATGTATTCTTCTACGACACATGTGACCGCACTCAAATGAATCGTTGTGAGGTAGGATTATCGTTTTGCTTACGATGACGATACTTTGCAGCCGAACGATATTCACACAACTCCTAGCCGGTTATCTCTTCATCGAAACTCTAATGAAGACAAGAATACCACGTGCTTAACAAATGGGGGTCACCGGGGAATCGAACACAAAACCTCTCGATCACAGAAGGCTCTGAAACCATGTTGAGAACCAGTTGCTCCCAATAACTCGAATTGTTGGAAGAGGTTCAATCGTGGATCATATACCACAACACTAACAACAACGACCACGTCGAATTAAATATATGAACCAACCCCGGAGCCAACCGTCCGCCGCGGCTCGTCACTCGTCTCTCTCAACTAGATGCGGCACAACTAATTATTAGTTAGTTTAAAAAAGTAACTAATCTATAAGATATATGATGGAGATTCATGACTCAACTTTCTTCCATTTCAAATTTTCTGCAACGAGAGTGAAAGTAGGAAGGGTACTTTCGTCATTGCAATTGTTTATTTTTTTATTTGAAAAAAATATCAGTGTCAAGATTTGAACCCGGGTCTCTTCTAACAAGGACAAGAGTCATAACCAATAAGACTAAACAAATTTGTTGCATTTATTTATAAAAAAAACATACAAGAGGCAAAATTCTGAAAATCAAATGACTTTTCCAGCACAGTTAGCTACCCCACTAAGTCTTTCTTAAGCATTTTTAGTGTTGGATCTTTGATTATCATTTATTATTATTTTATTTTGACTTCAATAATAATGGTAGTCTATCTTATAAATGGAGGATAATCTTAAAACCGCAATCCAAATATCATTTATTCGAATATTGCATATCAAATTACAATATTAAATATATATGTGCACACACAACCACATATATATGGGTCAGACTGGTGTACTCCTGGAGTATATTATACTTCAGGTACTCTTCGTGAGATATCTCTATCTAGACCATGATTTTTAACCGAGTTTGGGGTATGATACTCTACCCTAACCTCTAATGGATAAACCCCAGGCCCCGATTCTCTAACTCAAACCCAAAGTTTAATTTAATGGAAAATTATAATTGACCATTGAGATTGATTGGAGCTCAACAAAGTACATCTAATGTCTAGATCATGTGGAGTATACAATACTCTTGGAGTATACCAGTATACTATACTCCTGTAGTATACCAGTATGTGTGTGTGTAGTGTTTTCTATCATATTTTGAGTAAAATCAAAAGGTAACTCATACCCTTGGTAAGAAATGGCAATCTAGACTTTGAATTAACCTGATTTCGAGACGAGACACTATATTCTAACCCTTGACGAGTGAACTCTAGGTCTTAACTATTTAAATCATAGATCCTAAACCAAGGATTATAAAACCTCATCAGAGGTTGTACCGAAAAAGTCGGCAGGAGGGTATTTTATGCGAAAACTGTGGTTAACCGTGATTCAGTCGTTTCACAACACTACATAGTGCCTACTGGTTTAGTCGAACCCCCGGTACGTTAAGGGTTTTCAATCCTTGCCCTAAACACTAAGATTATGCACATAATTTTTTTGATGTATTTTGATGAAACACGACCTTCGATTATTGTTTCTAATAAAATTGATCTTAGTATATGAGCTTCATAGAATTAAGACCTAGATTTTAATCTGTAAGGGCTTAAGGTATAGTACCATGTCCCTAGCTCCGGCCACTAGACATCATTTTCATACTCAGAGTATATCATTCAAGGTCTATATATCATTTCCTTATGTCATTTTCTTAATCAAAATATGATAGAACCACCCATACTTATAGTTGTGTTATCCTGCTGGAAAGTCATTTGTTCTAAATGTTAGTTGGTTGGACTGCAGTTTTATCAGGGTTGTATGTTGTTTGAAACATTTTGAACTTCATTAGTCCAATATTTTTAGTACTCCTATATTATTTAGGGATAATATCCTATTTTGTGCTGAACTTTGATGTAAATAACAATTTTGGCATGAACATTCAAATAAGATAGTTTTGTCCGAATTTGAAAGAAATTAACAAATTTGACCCGAAATTTGGGTCGGTTATTAATATTGAGGGTCAAACATTTCTTTTTTTTATGACTCAACATACAATGTTAAGGTGACTATGGTGTGACTTTCACGTCATAGGTATAATATGCTATTTTGCCCTACACTTTCAAATAAGACAGTTTTGTACGAATTTTCAAAGAAATGAATAACTTTGACCCAAAATTTAGGTTGCCGTTAATATTGATGAGAGGGGTACAAAGAGAGATAGTTTCGTGCTTTGGGATTTTTGGGGGCCTGAATCAATTTCTTTTTCCTTTTAATATGATTTATGCAAGTAAATATGAAAATATTAGGATATACTAAGGGTCCTATTTTGTGGTCTTTTTTTCTTCTGAAAAATTCACTTTTTTAGACTTTATAAATAAATGACTTGGAAGCCACATCGCAACCGAAACCTCTCTATCACAACTGTCAATATTAAAGGTCAACCCAAATTTCAGACCAAATTTGTTCATTTCTTTCAAAGTGCAAACAAACCTATCTTATTTGAAAATTCGAGCCAAAATTGTCTTTTACATCAAGTTCATGCCAAAATAAGGTATCATCCCTATGACATGGAAGCCACATCGCAATCGCAACCACCTGAGCATTGTATGTTGAATGGATGAAGAAATTTTTAACTTTTAATATTAACGAACAACATAAATTTCAGTCCAAATTTGTCCATTTCTTTCAAAATTTTGAAAAACTGTCTTATTTGCAAGTTCATGTCAAGTTTGGCTTTTACGACAAACTTCAAGGTCAAAATAAGGTATATCCCTATTATTTATGGTCAACTTACCAATCAAAGTAGTCAGTGAAAGTATCAGCAACACTGACAAAGACAAACATATGTAATTCAAAATTAGTTGCACTCAGCCTTAAGTTTGAAGCTCTCTTGAGAACCCGGACTATTTTCTAGGCATCTTCGGGGACTACGACTAGCATGCTTCCAAACCAGCTGATCCTTATTCTACTTTCTATGAAGAGGAATAATATGGGTGTATCTGTTAGACATTAATTAGGGTTACAAATGATCTCATTCCTAAAATCTGTTAGAGACCAATCTTTTTCTTTCCTTCTGAGGGTTCATTATGTATGTTTTAGGAAAAACAACTCTAATCTTGAACTATTTGCCATTTTTAAGTATTGAAAACCTATTATTTTGTATGTTTTTCTTTTCTTCTTTGAACAATTATATTTCTTTTTTCAGTGATATGTCGTATCTTCCTATTATATTGTAAGCATGTTATATGAACATATTTTTTGTCTAGACTTTCCCGGCCAAGGGGCCGGGCCCGGTGCTAGTAATTTAAAAGAAATTATATAAACAAATAAATGCTCTACTTCTGTCCAGCAAAGCCACAGCCCCCGAAAAAGGCTCCAGACCTTCGTCCCATTTCCTCTTTTCCTCCTTCTTCTTCTTCTTCTTCTCTCTGTCTTTCTTTCTCTCTCAGTGAACAATCTCGCACATTTTCCCGACGCAACCTGGTAACAAAAGATTGCTGCCAGATGACCGGCTGCCGGCGCAAGTCCCCGGCAATGTCTGCACTTGCCAGCAGATCCATGCTCCTCCCTCTGCTCCTCCTCATTCACTCCTTTCCAGCTTCCGTCTCTGCTCAGCGCCGGGGATCTGGTTCTGCTTCCCCCTGGCAGACTCTCTCCGGTAAGTCCCGCTCTCTCCACATTCTTGTTCTTCCTTCCTTCCTTCCTTCCTTCTTCTTCTCCGGCGGTGCAGAACTTCCTTGCTCTGGCTTCCTTTTCCTCTTTCTATCTCTCTATGAAGTTGGGCGCCGTTCTGCTTCTTGATGAGTTGAATTAGGTTAGTTAATGGCGGTTCCTGCATTTCCTGGGAGTAAACTCGAGCTAGCTGGCGTCAATGCGAGCTCCGGCTTCGTCTAGCTAGGGCCGAATGGCTGCTATTGTATTTGAATTGCGAGCTCCAAACTCTTCAGCATTTGAACCATTTCTTTCTAGTTTTCTGCGGAGGACAGTTTTTGTAAATTGGACTGTTAGCTCAATCGGTTAGAGCGTCGTCGTCGGAGGCCAATTCGCTAATTACCGGTATCTCATGAATTCATCCATTCTTCCACTCTAGATCTTCTCTCGTGCGGGGAGTAATTACATTTGTTTTTGAATGATTGAGGAAGGCAATAGCGAATCGGCCATTTTCTGTGTGTTTTTCCCTCCTTCCGGGAAGAACGCTGCTGATTCAACAGTTTCCTTCATTTTTGTGCAGGAAATAGCCCCATAGTTGTAGCTCGGGGTGGATTTTCAGGTCTAGTTCCTGATTCATCCAATGCGGCTTACCAGTTGACACTGCTGACCAGCGCGCCGGATGTTGTCTTCTGGTGCGACTTGCAGCTCAGTCAAGATGCATTCGGGTTCTGTCTCCCCGATGTCACGCTTGGTAACTCTACTGATATCTCTCAGCTTTACCCGGGCCGTCAGAGCACCTACACCGTCAATGGCGTGAGGCAGACCGGGTGGTTCTCCTTGGATTTCAACACCACCAGCTTGTCAACTGTTTCCTGTGTGTTCATTTTTCCATCATCTCACTGGATTTCCTTTTGTTGGTTTTCATGTTCATGTCACTAGTATCGAGTAATCCCCGGTGGCAGTTGCTTCGCTAGTACATTTGATTCTGAAATGAGCTCTTTCGACAGTGATGCAGGGAGTCTACTCGCGTAGTCCGAATTTCGACAGCAATTTGTTCCCTATCCTAAGTCCTGATGATGTTGCTGCGCTAAAGCCGGCTGGCCTCTGGTTGAACGTTCAGGTAATTTTGTTGGCACATTTTCATTTCTTAGCACCCCCTTTATTTGTTTGGCATTTTTGTTTCTAAGCTACAACAATTGCTGAGTTTTGATGTGGTTTCGTCTTGCAGCATGATGCATTCTACAGCCAGCACAATCTGAGTATGAGAAGCTATGTTCTTGCTGCATCTAGAAGATTTGTCATTAACTACATCTCATCTCCGGAAGTGGGGTTCTTGAGAAGCATTGCATCGCGATTCAACCCGAAAATCACCAAATTGTTCTTCCGGTTTAATGCGCCTAGTGATGTCGAGCCTTCCACAAACCAGACTTATGGTTCTTTGCTATCGAATTTGAAATTTATCAAGACCTTTGCCTCTGGAATTCTTGTGCCTAAGACTTACATATGGCCGCTTGATGCAAGTAATTATTTGCAGCCCAGTACTACACTTGTCTCGGATGCTCATAAAGCCGGGCTTGAAGTTGTGGCCTCAGACTTTAATAATGATGCTGTTCTCAGCTACAATTACAGTTACGACCCTGTAACTGAGTATCTGCAATTTGTGGACAATGGTCAGTTCTCCGTTGACGGTGTCTTGTCCGACTTCCCAATAACCCCATCTGCAGCATTTAGTAAGCTCTCTTTCCTGTCACCCCTTCAGTTTTCACAGTCCTTTTCCCCTCCTATGTTTTCATTTATCTGAGCAGTTCATTGTTCTGTTATAATGGTAAAGAATCCCAAATGGAGTTACTTGAACTTGGAATGTAACAAACACTTGGTTGTACTACTTCTTGAGATTAGGAATTACACTACTTGGTTGGGTTTGGTTCTCTGAATTTGTCAGTAGTATAGATCTGCAGAAGCTTGGAAAAGTTTGTCCATGGGTGTTGGGGGACATCACAGATTTCATTCCAGCAACTTTACTCTAACCTGGGATTAGTTGTTTCGGGTACTGAATTCATTCTCTATTGCAGATTGCTACGCTCACATGGGCCATAATGCTTCAGACAAAGGTATGTGACTCATTTAGTGAAACTATGTCTTCAGTTGGATGGATACTCTTGTTTCCAAATGATGGACCGACCTCACTCATGTTTTGCAGTAAATACTTTGGTCATCACCAAAAATGGTGCAAGTGGAGACTATCCACCCTGTACCGACCTTGCATACCGAAAAGCCATTTCCGATGGAGCAGATGTTATTGATTGTCCAATCCAGATATCTCAGGATGGAGTCCCATTTTGCCAGAGCTCTATAAACCTTATTGACACTACACAAGCTGCTGAAACATTGACCAGCTTTTCAACGAGTGTTCCGGAGCTCAAAGGCGATGGCATATATACGTTTAGCTTGAACTGGAGTCAAATTCAGGACTTGACTCGTAAGCTTTTCATCTGTCCTCAATTTAGCTGTTTTGTTACAATGGCCGGCCTCTGAAATGTAACATTCCGACTCTACTTCATTCGAGGTTTACATTGGTTGTATATGTTCCATTGCAGCGGTCATATCCACCCCATTTCCTAGTTATCAGTTGGTCCGTAATCCAAAGGAGCGAAATGCTGGGAAGTTGGTTTCCCTAGCTGACTTCTTGGGTATGGCAAAAGATGCTGGAGCGCTTTCTGGTGTCTTGATCAACATTGAGGTGGGTTTCGTAGTTTCTATCACAGTGGCATTACTACTACAAATCCCTACATATCCAAATTGACCTGATGAACTTGGTCTGTTTATTTTCCTCCATTTCCCCAGAATGCGGCTTATCTCATGGAGAAGCAGGGGCTAGCTGTCCTTGACGCGGTGGAGACCGAACTGACCAAAGCTGGTTACCATAACCAGACAGCTCTGAAAATCATGGTCCAGTCCACCAATAGCTCAGTCCTAATGAAGCTGAAGGATAAAAAACAGTACGAGCTGGTTTACGCGGTCGACGAGACAATTGGAGGTGCTGATCCTTCTGCAGTTTCAGACATCAAGAACTTTGCTCATTCCGTCGTGATCAGCAAGCAGTCGGTGTTCCCCCAGAACGACGCTTTCGTGACCAGAATGACCGATGTCATAACAAAGCTGCAGAATGCTGATCTCCCCGTCTACGTCCAGACCTTCAGCAATGAGTTTGCATCTCAACCGTGGGACTTCTTTGCAGACATCAACGTGGAGCTCAACACCTACATCTCGACCACCAACATCAGCGGCGTCATTACAGACTTTCCTCAGACACCTAACAGATACAAGAGTAAGCCCTTGAAGAAAGAAACATTCTTTGCATCTTAGCTTGCTGTCATCTCTATGTAATACATATCTAATCCACTGTATTTTCGACTGCCTGCAGAAAACAGATGTCTAACTCAATTGGACAATGTTCCTCCCTACATGGCCTCGGTTCAGGCAGGGAGTCTGCTGGGACTTATCCAGCCGCCATCTTTGCCACCAGCTCAGGCTCCGAACCCTGCTCTGACCGAGGACGACGTCTCTGAGGCTCCTTTGCCACCGGTCGGAGTGAAGCCTACATCGGAGTCTCCCCCTGGTGGTGGAGCTACACCACCAGGCTCAGGAAGTGGTCAGCCAAGAGGAGCAGCTGCTGGGTTCATGGCTACTGTTGTGGCTGTGTTTTTCACTTTGCTCTCGCTGCTGCTGCTTTGAGTTTGTGGAAATGTGGCATGTAAATGGTGATTAGGGTCTTCCCTCCCAGAAGAAGAGATATGGGGAAGAGTTTTTTTCTAGGTGTTTTTTATTGGATCATTCTTAATTGGATGGAGGTTAATAGAGTAAGACGGATCAGGGAAGAAGCATGGAGGGATTGTATTAGCTGTGGCTGTTTGGTACTTGTAATATAAACAAAAAACTTTATTCTTTGGTGTGTATGTATTTGACTTAGTAGAGGAATTGTTGGGAGTTAAAAGCACAGGCTGTCACTGTTCTTCAGTGTAGCCCATTTACACTTTAGTGTGTATGGATACTCACTTGAACCTGATCTGATCAGGTAGGATAAAATTCGAACTCGATAAATCATTCATGTTTGTGGATTAAACTCAAATAAGTTATGGTTGTTTCACTATCTAATTTGAACGTATGAACTCAATTTATGTAGAAACTCGTTGAATTATGTCATCCTGAGCGGGAAAGAAAGAAGAAGGTTAAGTCAAGTAGGTTAGTCGACCTTGAGTATTTTCCCCACATGTTACGTGTTTGCTAAGTTAGTTTGCTTATTAAGTTTCATTTCTGTGTTTTATATGTACCTTGTTCTTTCTTGCCTTATAAATCATGAATAGGAGGCCATCAATCTAATTAAAACGGCACAGTTTCTCAGTCATATCCTCCACTATCAAAACCCCTACTCAGGCAATTCATCAAGAGATATCATAGATTGCACCCCGACGAACCCTTGCTAGACAAGGAGTATCGAGAGACGAGAATCCATGTTCTTGGTGTGAGGGCCTAGCATTAGTGCAACGAGAGAGGTGGAGAGAGAGAGAGAGTAAGCGAATACCCCCACATTTTAAGTCCTTGCTAGGCATATCCTTCTCTAAGTCCACCACGATGCATACATTTCGTCAATCACCACGATTGTCATCTTGAGATGGTCGTTACTAGGCCATAATGATACATCCCCGACCAGTTGTCATCCTAACATTTGGTGGCCCATGTGAGAGAATCACAATTGTTGGTAAGTGCCTAAATGAGTAAGTGGTAACCAAACTGGTAAGACTTAACAAATTGTAGGACCTTCTTACAATAAATAAATATCTTGCGGATGGTTCCGTAAATTCCAAATCAATCCTTCATCTTCTTCGCTGAACAAGGGCGAGACTTTTGACCAAAAACCAAGTTGTAGACTAATGGAAACCGCCAAAGAGCTTCGCCGCAGGGACGACAAAATCACAAACTCCGATTCGTCGCTTCATATCAGATCACCGTCGAAGTTGTCGCACTGGAGCTCGCCGTCGTCTGTAGCAGCTTCTCCTTCTCTCTATCCCCCAACCATGGAAACTTAGACCCATCACTGTTAGTCTGTTACTTCGTTGCCGTTCCCAAACCCTTCTCAGGGCTTCACCGTCGTCGTTTGAGGATCTGTTCATGGTGGCCCGTTGCTCGATCTGCTGTAAATTGCGTGACATTGTTAGTGATGAACCATGTTCGTTAATTGATTTCTCCATTGCAATTTGTATTAACAGGAATAGAGGCAAAATTCCCTTTTCTTGTATCTGCTAGATCAAGAAATCCAACCATGCACGAGTTCATGTGTGGGATTCTATCTTTGCTGCATGCTTCCTTCTCCGATGGCCGTGAAGAAGTAGCTTGAAAGAACCCATCAATGGCGATTTCTGAAAATTTTCCTTGACCATTGCTTTAACACCATTGCTGATCTTATTGTCTCCTGTATATGCTGGAAACGAACTTTGTCTCTTGTTGGAATTCTTTCCCATTAGGCATGTTTCTGTCAATAAGCATCAACTTGCAGAAAAAAATCTGTCCCTACAACCTAGTTGACTGGGTTTCTTTTTCCACATATCCTTCCAACTTCTGATTCAACTTGTGAACATGTGGATGCCAAACCTGGTCCAATCCCTATCCTCTCTCGCCTCGTCCATATCTCACACATTGGCTGAAAAGTCTTGGCGAGGTGAACGGTTGCTGGCCAAAGTCTCCGGCGGCAATGTCTGGCCTCGGAGCCGCTCTTACCAGCTCGCTGCTCCTCCCCATTGCGTTACTGCTACTCTTCCTTCGCCTTCACTCATTTCCAGCTTCCGTCTCTGCTCAGAGGGGTTCTGGGTCTGCTCCTCGCTGGCAGACTCTCTCCGGTAAGTAGAAAGTTTTCTTTCTCTTTGTTTGCCTTTTCTCCTGTAGACCCTCTGCTTTGGTTTCTATATCTTCTTAGAGAACTCCTGAACTGGAAATTCTACTTCTTGAATTGAGGAGGTGAAGTAATTGATGGGTTTTAGGTTTTGTTTTGGTGCATTGTTATCTTGTTCAATGATTGTCCCCTCTGTTGCTTTGATCTTCTCACCTCAATATGCCGAGGAATTGAATTTTGTAGGAGGCATGTTTCTGAAATATAGCAATACTGTGTTGATCTTACTCAACGTGTCTTTCTGCCTGGAAGACCGCTGCTGATTGAACAGTTTCCTTCATTGTGCAGGCCATAGCCCCATAGTTGTAGCCCGGGGTGGATTTTCGGGTCTGTTTCCTGATTCTTCAAGAGCGGCTTACCGATTCGCCCAGGCCACTAGTGTGCCAGACGTTGTCCTGTGGTGCGACTTGCAGCTCACTAAAGATGGATTCGGGCTTTGTCTCCCAGACATCAAGCTTGATAATTCTACTGATGTCTCTCAGATTTACCAGGACGGTCAGAACACCTACATGATCAATGGCGCCACGCAAACCGGATGGTTTCCCTTGGATTTCAGCCTCGCCGAGTTGTCAACTGTACCCTGTGAGTTCATGTTCATCCCTCATGGATGAGCATTTGTGGGTTCCGGGGTTTGTCTGACTGGGATGAAGTCAAGCCATAGTAGTTGTTTCAATTGTACAGACGAATCGAATTAATAGTAGCACTCTGTTCAGAAATTGACTCTTTGGTTTTGACAGTGGTTCAGGGAGTTTATACTCGTAGCGAGCAGTTCAACAATTTGTTCCCGATTCTAACTCCTGAGGATGTTGCTGCACTAAATCCAGCTGGCCTATGGCTGAATGTTCAGGTAGTTGCAGGGAAACTTTCTTATTTGACTTTTCATTTTCTTAACTACAACAGTTGCTGAGTGTTGATGTGGTTTTTCTCTCCAGCATGATGCATTCTACACCCAGCGCAATTTAAGTATGAAAAATTATGTCCTTGCTGCATCTAGAAGAATGGTTATCAATTACATCTCATCTCCGGAAGTGGGGTTCTTGAGAAGTATTTCTACGCGATTCAACCCAAGAATCACCAAACTGTTCTTCCAGTTTAATGCACCTAGTGATATCGAGCCTTCGACAACCCAGACATATGATTCTTTACGATCAAATTTGACATTTATCAGGACCTTTGCCTCTGGAATTCTTGTCCCCAAGACTTACATATGGCCACTGGATGAACGTAATTATTTGCATTCCAGTATGCCCCTTGTCTTGGATGCTCATAAAGCTGGGCTTGAAGTTGTGGCCACGGACTTTTACAATGATGATGTTCTGAGCTACAACTACAGTTACGACCCTATAGCTGAATATCTGCAATTTGTGGACAATGGTCAGTTCTCTGTTGACGGCGTGCTGTCTGACTTCCCAATAACTCCATCTGCAGCATTTAGTAAGCTTTCTTTCCGATGACCCACTTCATTTCTCACATTCCTTTTTCTGAAGTTTTCTTTTTTTCCCAGTACATAGTTCATTGTCGAGTTATACTAGAGAAATCCAAAGATATTGCTTTGAGTCTGGAATGTAACAAACACTTGTTTGTTTTACTTCTTGAGATTAGGAATGGCATTGCTTGTTTGGGTTGGTTTCTCTTAATTTATCAGCAGTGTAGATCTGCAAAAGCTTGTGGAAGTGTGTCCTTGGGGTTGCGGGACATCACAGATTTCCTTCCAGCTATTTTACTCTAACCCAGGATTAGTTATTTTGAGTACTGATTCGTTCTCCCACTGCAGATTGCTACGCTCACATTGGCCGGAATGCTTCAGAGGAAGGTATGTGATTCTCGTGTAGTGATGTGATGCCTTAAGTTCATGTGTCCATAGTAGCTCGCCTAATTATGGACTAACCATGATCGTACTTGCAGTAAATACTTTGGTCATCACCAAAAATGGTGCAAGTGGAGACTACCCATCCTGTACCGACCTTGCATACCAAACAGCCATCTCGGATGGAGCAGATGTTATTGATTGTCCAATTCAGATGTCACAGGATGGAGTCCCATTTTGCCAAAGCTCTATAAACCTTATCGACACTACACAAGCCACTGAAACATTAAATGACTTCTTAACAGATGTTCCGGAGCTCAAGGGCAAAGGCATATATACGTTTAGCTTGAATTGGAGCCAGATTCAGAACTTGACTAGTAAGCTTTTCATCTGGCCTTCGTTTGGTTGTTGTATCCCGACTCTGCATCATTAGAGGGGGTTTTATATTTATTTTTTTAAATGTTACATTGCAGCGGCCATATCCAATCCATTTCTAAGTTATCAGTTGTACCGAAATCCTAGGGTGAGTAATGAAGGAAGTTTAGTTTCCCTAGCTGACTTCTTGGCTTTGGCAAAGGACGCTGGATCGCTTTCTGGCGTCTTAATCAACATTGAGGTGAGCTTCCAAGTTTCGATCGCATCCTCATTATATATCCAAATTAATAACCTTTCCTGATGGACTTGGTCTCTTTATATTCCTCCATTTGCCCAGAATGCAGCTTATCTCATGGAGAAGCAGGGTCTGGCTGTAGTTGATGCGGTTGAGACCGAATTGAGCAAAGCTGGTTATGATAACCAGACAGCTCTGAAAATCATGATCCAATCCACCAATAGCTCAGTTCTAATGAAGCTGAAGGATAAAATACAGTACGAGCTAGTTTACCAAGTTGACGAAACAATTGGGAGTGCTGATCCTTCTGCAGTTTCAGACATCAAGAATTTTGCTCATTCTGTTGTGATCAGCAAGCAGTCGGTGCTAGCTGAGAATAATGCTTTCCTGACCAGATTGACAGATGTCGTGACGAAGCTACAGAATGCTAATCTCCCGGTCTACGTCCAAACCTTCAGCAATGAATTTGTATCTCAACCGTGGGACTTCTTTGCAGATATCAACGTGGAGCTCAACACCTACATCTTGGGGACCAATATCAGCGGCGTTGTTACAGACTTTCCTAAGACACCTAACAGATACAGAAGTAAGCCCCTCTTTGAAGAAAGGTTCCATTGCTGCATATCTCTCTTTCTCTCTAGCTTGCTGATATCTCTCTCTCCGTCCACTATTTATTGACAACAGAGAACCGATGTCTGGCTCAA